TTTTAACTGTGAACACAGATCAGACTACAGAAGAAATAATTTGTCAACCTGAAGCTGGGTCCATAAAAATGTATCCAAATTTAAGCACAGAAAGAAAAAGATTGTTAATAAACAACAACAAAGACCCTCAGTGACCTGAGGGGCAGCATCAAGCAGTCTTGGTGTATATGTCAGTTAAGTCCCAGGGGAAGGAGAAAGGGGAGGGGGCAGAAAAAATATTTGAAGAAATAATAACTGATAATTTCCCAAATTTGATGAAAAATATCAACCCACAAATCAACCAAACCTAAGCAGCATAAACATTAAAAAAAACAACAACAACAACATAGGAACATATTAAAACCAAAGATAAAGAGGCCACTTTAAAAGCTGCCAGAGACAGACCCATCGCATGCAAAGGAACAAAGATGAGAAATACAGTCAACTTCTTTGCAGGTCACAATACAGCAGAAAGGCGTCTTTAAAAACAAAACTGAGAACCTAAACTTCTTTGTGTGTGTGTGTTCAATATATTTTTATTGTTGAAAGTATTATGGATGCCCCCCCTTTCCCCATTGACCCCCTCCTTTCTACTCCCATCCCCCTCCTGCCTTCCCCAGCCTAATGTCCATGCCAATTGGTTGTGCATATACACATTGGGAACCTAAAATTCCATATACTACCCCAAAAAAGTCCTTTAAAAATAAAGGTGAAATACAAGTATTTTCAATACACCAGGAAGGCGAAACAGTGATAAGTGAGTCCACACTTAATAGGAGCTTCAAATATGTGAAGCAGAAACTAACCCATCTGCTCTGGCCGGTTTGGCTCAGCGGTTGGAGCATCAGCCCACCGACCAAAGAGTCATGGGCAAGATTCCAGTCAGGGGCACGTACCTTGGTTGTGATTTGGTCCCCGGCCCTGGTTGGGGTTGTGTATGAGGCAGCCAGTTGATGGGTCTCTCTCAAATGAATGTTTTTCTCTCTCTCTCCTTCCTCCCTCCCACCAAGAATTCAGCAAGGATATAAAGACTTAACACTATCAAACGACATGACCTAACATTTGCAGGGTGCTCCACTGAACAAGAGCGGAATGCACACATACTTTTTCAAGTACATGTGGAGTAGTCACCATAAAACGTCTCAATAAATAGAAATCTGTTAAAATCATACAAGATATAGTCTCTAGTTGTAGTCCAGTTGGAAATCAATTACACTAAGATATCTGTAAAGTTCTCTCAAGGGTTTGGAAAGTAAACAAACAAAAAAGAAACTTTTAAATAACCCACGAGTAAAACAAATCACAAAGACAATTAGATAATATTTTGAATAAATAATAATGAGAACAGGAAATATCAAAACTTGTGTGCAATAGTCAAAGCAGTGCTTCAAGTGAGAATTCTAGCTTTAGATGCTTGTGTTTAAAAAGACTAACGGTTTTAAATAAAACCTCTAAGCTTCCACCTTGAAAATCAAGAGAAAGATGAGCAAATTAAGCTCAAACTAGAAGACAGGATATCATAAAAAGCAGAAATCAATGACACAGAAATTGAGCAAACAACAGAAAAACTAAAAACCCGAAAAGTTAGTTCTTCGAAAGATTAATAAAATTAACTCCTAGCTATATTACTCAGAGAGAGACAGAGAGAATATGAACACAAATTTCCAGTATAAGGAATGAAAGATAGGACATCACCACAGACCCTATAGACATTAAAAGGGAAATAAGAGAATATTACAAACAATTTTAATGGCATAAATTCGACAACTGGAGGAAATGGACAAACCCCTTGAAGGACACACGTTACCAAAACTGACACAAGAAGAAAAAGAAAATTTTGAAAAGACATATGGCTGATGACAAGATGAATTTTTAATGAACCCACCCACACAGAGGAGAAGGTGAAAGTCATTTGGTCCCAGGAAGGGTGAGTCATCAGTATTGCTGAAGAAGAAAGTGTGAAAAGGTCAACGCACATGTGATGACAATGACAGGAATCACAGCACCTACCTTGTCAGTCACAGGCGCTACGCCTGGTGATTTATCCAACCATGTCTCACCCTCACAACAACCTTAGTTTGCAGATGAGAAGGTAGGCAGCTCAGAGAGGTTCCCTCTCTTGCCAAAGTCACACAGGAGGTGGCAGAGCTGTGCAGAGCCCACAGCAAGGCATGTGCACGAACCTGCCGGAGCATGCTCCCCTCTTCTGTTCCTTCTCACCCCCAGCCTTGCAGGCAAAGGACAAAGGACTCAATCTACGTCATCAAAGTGACATCTTTTAGACAACACCCTGCTTGGACTCTTGATTAAGTGTCTTGTAACTCTTTCATAACACGTGCCCCTGGAGATCAGGGGCTCCATTTTATTCATTTTAATCTTTTTTCCTTTCTTTATTGATTTTAGAGACAAAGGAAGGGAGAGGGAGAAAGAGATAGAAACATTGATAAGAGAGAACATCGATCAGCCGCCTCCTGCATGCCCCTCACTGGAGATTGGGCCCACAACCTGGGCATGTACCCTGACCGGGAATCAAACCAGCGACCCCTCAGTGCATGGGATGATGCTCAACCACTGAGCCACACCAGCTGGGCTCCATTTTATTGCTATATTAATAAAACAGAAATATAAATGCGCGCGCACACACACATGCACACGGTCACTATAAAATGTATCCTCCAAGCCAGAACACTTGGAAGTGAAAGGGGGTTCTCCTGACAGCTACATCAGGACGACAGGCACAGGCCAGGGCGGACCTGCAGAGCCAGGACGAATGGTTGACCTGACGGGGGGTGTGACAGCATTCCTGCTCTCGGGAAACTACTGCAACACAATGACCATTGTATTGACAGTATCACTGTCATTTTACAGTTTGCACTGTGCTCCTGAGCCTGCCCACCATCCAAGAAAGCAGGTGACATATTATCATACCTGTGTAGGCAGGTCAGAAGATTTCCTTGAGGTCAGAGAGAAGGGACCCATTCCAGGTCTTTCACAGCTTTCTCTGGAGAGCTCCCTCCTCTCCTACAATTTCCTGGAAAACCGGAGCATACACACACAAATCTATAGCTAACCCATCCTTCTTACCTCTTACCTCCCTTCTTGCCTTAGGTGCCAGGAAGTTCAGAATAAAACTTCAGACCGGTTGGGAGTATAACAATTTATGCAATCAACCTGCCACTTCTGTTTGCACGGTTCTATTATTCTCTTGCATGTCCCAAATGCCGTTCGGAAGCCGATGGGTTACAAGTTACAAATAACATTTTTAAAGGAACCAATCTGAATGCGCAGGTGGACCTCACAATTCACTAACCAGTCCTGCCCGACACGGAGCCTCCTGGGGTGTGTCCACATTGCTGGCCCTCCTCTCCAGAGTCAACTGGAGCCTGCCTCCTGGAGGAGCCCCCACTCTTCCCTTGGGAAGGTGACAGGTGTCTCTGGTGTTTCAAACCGAGCACAAGCTTGGGAGTCAGGAGAGTCTCCCTGCAACTCCAGCCCTGCAGGCTGGGACTCGGGACCCTCCCAGATCCACCTCTGTGGAGCGCCAGATCCGCACGCAAAAGAACCCGTGGCGCCCAAGGCCATGAGTCTGTCCAGGGACACTGCTGGCTGTGTGGCTCTTCCCATCCCCTGCTGCAGACCCTCCACTGGCACAGCCTTTGCTCTTAGCCCCTTACAGAGACATCACCAGGGAAGCCCTCTAATTCCCACTGGAAACCCAGCGCCAGCCTCCCCACTCCTGAAACAACACGTTGCATGGGGCCTCCACCACAGCTCGTGTCCTTCTGCCTGGACCCTAGTGAGCTGGGGACTTGTCCCTGCCCTGGGCAGCTGCACAGGAACCCGCACCCTGTGGCCCTCTAGTAGCTGGGCCTCTTCAGAGCCCCAGGATATGGGTGGACCAGCTGCCCCCCCACCCCCACCCCCTGTTGATACAGAGACCCCAGCTCCTAGAAACAAAGACCTACGGAGGGGGGCTGCTGCTTACATGGGGAGAACACGGAGGCACCCGCAGACCAAGGCCACCGTGCCACTCAAAGGAGGCCGAGGACTGGCGAGGACAGTGAGGACCGAGAAGCCTCCTCAGGAGGCCCTCACCCCGCTGCCTGTCTCTTCACACCCCTTCCTCAGATGTTCACTATTTTGTTATTGTTGTTAATTCCTTGCCAGGTGGAACCCGGCACTGTGGGGCTTAATTAAGCTCAGCCAGCTGTTGCCAAACATGGGAATGTGATGCGTGGAGGAGCCAGCCACAGCGGTGGTGGGAAGGGGGAAGAGGAGGGGGATAGAGAAGGAGGTGGGGCCTGGAGGCTCTGGGAGACTGGTAGCCCCAGGTCTACAATGGATAGGGTCTGAGTTTGGGGGACAGGAAGCGAGTTGCCAGAGGGGCCCTCTGGGAAGGTCCCAGGATGTGGGTGGACCAGACCCAGCTGCCACACCCACCCCCTGTTGATGCAGGAACCCCAGCTCCTACAGGACAGACGAAGACTTTGCAGGGGGAGCTCCTGGGAAGGGGGACAATCGCAAGGCCCAGCACCAAGGCTGTGCTGCCCAGACACCAGACAACAGCCCCCAAGGAGCTCAAGGTATGGTGTGTGTAGATGTATGGTGTGATATGTATGCATGTGTGTGGGGGGGGAATGTGAGGGTGTGTGGTATATGTGGAGTGTATATCTTTGTGTATTGTGTGTGAGTGTATATGTGGTATGTATGTGGTGGAGGGTATAGGCATGTATATGTGTGAGTGTGTGTCTGTGTGTGATATGGTGTGTATGTGCATCTATGTGTGTGCAGTGTGTGTGTGGTATGTATGTGTGTGTGTCCAAGATTCTGTCCACTTGCCCTGGAGATAAGGGTGTTTCATGATTTTGCTTGTCACCAGGGTCTGTCTGTGAAAATGTAAAAACAGCTAGTTGGTGGGGCCTCATTTGCATCCAGAAAGCTAGCTGCAAGGGAGTCCAGAACCAGACATTAGCTTTTTAGCTTCTCCAAATAAAAAGACAGTAGAACAAAGGTTGAGAGAGCAGATCTACATCTTTTCCAGTCCACCCTTTGATAACTCAAAACCCATCCTTTTATTCAGGCTTGAACTTCCAAACAACAACAATAGTAACCAAGCATGCTCCCAACTAACACAATGCAACTTTCCTGTGTACAAGAGAGAAGATGCTCACCCTCTCTTCAACGGGTAAGACTTTATGCTGTATTCTCCCCAGTGAAGACATAAAAAGACAAATGAATTTGAAACTCAAAATACCCTTCCATCCACCAACTCCATCTTCAGGAATTCACCTCTGATGTGCTTGCCCAGGGCACACAGCATGTTTGTGGAGGCAGAGGAGTGAGAACACCCCAAATGTCATCACCGAGGGACCACTGTGGATTCAATACAACAAAAAGCTCACGGTCAAGAGACTTGTAGAAACACAACTAGATACATCAAAGGAAAAATGGCAAGTCACACAACTGGCTTCCACTGTGGGGTTCTCAGCATTGGCTGGATACTGATATTATCTGAGAAGTTAAAAACACAAACTAACTTCTGCCCCAGACACCTCCTGGGATGGGCTCAGAACTGCTGGGGGTGGACGGGCTCTTTTCCCTGAGTATGACGAGCAGGGAGAATGACACTCTCTGTTCTGTAGCTGCTCCCATTTGGGCAGGTGCAAAATGAAAGATGCCAGACACAGGCAGGTAGCTCACACACACATACTCACACTCACTTGGTATCATGTGATCACACAGACTTGCACACACACACTGCAGCGCACACGGGTATCACGTGATTATACAAACTCGCACACGATGCATCATGTCGTACCATGTGGTCACACGGATACTTGTCTATGCACGGCTGTCTCTGGAAGGCTGTGGGGACAGAGGTCATGGAATGGGGACAGAAGGGATGTTTGGGGGACTGCCTTAAAGTGCTGGGCATTTGGCTTTTGTTGGTGGTAGTGGTACTTATTCTCCATTAACATTAAAATTTGAAATAAAAACGGTGCCTCCTCCAGGCGCTGCTCCCTCCGAGACTAGCTCTCTGGTCAGCAATGTCCTTGGAGCACTAGCTGGGGGCTGACAGGCCCCCTCAGCACTCCCACTATGGGGCTTCCGTCTCAGCCCCCAGGACTACGAGTTTGTCATGCAAAGGGCCAGATGCTGCTCCAAGTGTGCAAATGGCCCTGGCAGGAGCCCATCCCTCTGCGGCTGTCCTGCTGATGGCCCCAAACAATCCAGTGTCAGCTGACGCAGGCTTGCTCCGGGCTGGGCTCTGGGGAGACAGCTTCATGGAACTCAGCCCGGAATTCAGTCCCCACCTGGCAAACAGCTGTGGCCCCACCTGATAATGGACGTTTTAGGGGAGGAATGCACCCAGATCCCCAAGACAGCGCATCCCAGCAAGGTGGCTCCTCCGTGGACCCTCAGACACACAAGGCACCCTTGCATTCCTCACCCTACCCCGGTGCTGGCTGCTGCCTGAGGTCCCTCCACAGTGGCCATCCCAGTGCTGCCGGCCCTGGTGTGGCCTTGGGCCAGCTTCCTCTCTGGGCTTTGAGTTAATCCTCTCCGAAGGAAGGACACCAGGCTAGGAAGGACCACCAGCCACCAGAATTGCCTGCGGGTTACTATACATTCAGAGTCCCAAGACCTAGCAGCCAGGATGGGTTAGGACCAGTAAATTGGCATTTCTTTTTCTTTTTCTTTTTGTATTTATCCTCCGACAAAGTGGGAGGTAGAGAGGGAGGAAGAGAGAGAGAGAGAAACATCAACATGAGAGAGACACTTCGAGTGGTTGCCACCCACATGACCCCATCCAGAGCCGGGGACAAACTGCAACCGAGGTATGTGCCCTTAGCGGGAACCGAACCTGGGACTCTCTGGTCTGCGGGCTGACTCTCTAACCGCTGAGCCAAACTGGCCAGGGCTAAATCTGCATTTAACAAGCACCCACGTGGCTCTGATGCCGCAGTGGGAAGGTCACATACTCAGGGTCTGGAGGCAGCTCTGAGCGAGTGCATTTCAGATGATTTCTTGGCTTTGGGTTGACTGGGGGAGAGCAGGACTCATAGGCACCCCTTCCTTGCAAGGGAGAAGGGGTGACATGGAGGTGACCCAAGAGGCAGGAGAGGACAGCAGGGGCAGGACGAGGAGAGCAAAGCAGGGGCTCCTGGAAGGTGTGGGAGACTGACCTCCTTTGTCCCACCTTCGGAGTCCAGTCCGGTGCGCGCTGGGAAGGCTGCCAAGGCAGGGTGGAGGTGGCCTGAGCTGTCAGTGGAAAAGCAGCAGAAAATAGCAGCCAGCCAGGAGTCCCCAGAATTCCCCTCATGGTTTGTTTTTAATTGGATTTAATTATTTTCCATTTAATTGCATTTTTAAAAGCTCTCCCCAGCGGTTTCCTGATCTGAGGCCTCTCCATCTCTCCTGGGCTGGAGACTTGGCCTGGGGAGGGGGGGGTGAAGAGACAGAGCCAAGGCTACCATGGAACTCTGTGGTCCCACCAAAGCTCCCTGGGGACCTGGGAAGGGCCCTGGCTCTGGGGGCGGTGGGGCTGGGAAATAGGCGGCCCCGTGTCCCTCCCCGGGCCAAGCATTCCTTGAGGGGCCTCCTTACCCATAGGTCACAGGCACAAGCATGAGACATCTGGGGCTGTCCTCCTGGGGTTCCAGCTCGTGCTTGAGGTCCTCCCCCACGTCACCGCGACCTTTCCTTCAGACAACTCTAAGACGCTGTTTAACAAGATGCCAAACTTAGTCAACTCGCCGTCCGAAATTCATCTATATCAGCACATGTACACACACACACACACACACACACACACATCCCTAACAACACGCACATGCATGCGCACACACGTGCACACATGCACCGTGGCTGAGCTGTTGTATTCTCACACAGACCTGCTGGGGGACCCATGAGCGGAGCACATGGGAAGGAGAATCGTATTAAGTAGCCACCTGGAATACATCCTCCTCAGAAACCACGACTGCTGAAAAACATCAGCACAGTTCCTCTTCTCTCCTGGCGACATGTCACTGACGGCGGGCCCCTTGTCCGATTCTCGGCCGTCCCTCTGTCTCTCCCTCTCTCCGCCGCTGTCTCTCTGTGTCTCTCTTTCTTTCCTGCTCTCCTTCCTGTTTTCTGTCTTTCCTCTGCTCTCCCATCCTTCTCGATACTATCTTGCCTCTTGCCTGGCTTCGACTGCCTGGGAAATGTTGGATGGGGCGCCTAGCTCCCAGGGTAGGGGAGCAGCATTCCCCACCAGACGGTGGTTCAGCACCATGGCCAGGGGTGCTGTTCAAGAAGGACTTCTGCCCCTAGACATTTGATACCATGCAGGGCCCCACACCTTCATCATCACCACCCAGGACTGTGTTTATTTGCTTGTCATTCCCTGGACAGGACAGGCCAGTGCGACAGGGCCATGGTGGCCACGGAAACGCTGTGACCTCCTCTGTATCGGTTGACCTGCCTGCATCACCTGCATTAGCTCATTTAATCCCCATAGCAGCCTGTGAGGTCAGTACGATTATGTCCATTTTTCAGATAAGAAAACTGAGATTCAGAGCAGGAAGTGGCTGGTCCAGGGTCCCACAGCTTGAAAGAAGAGGAGCCAGGGGTCACACCAACCACACAGACCCCTCCTTCCTAGTTCATGCATCTTCCTTGCAAGGCTTAGAGAAAGATGGTGGGATGCTAGCCAATTCTAGATACCAGCTCACCCACCCACACTCTACCCTTGGGAACACTGGGAACACCTAGCCATCAGGACCACACCTTGTAGAGGAGGTGGTCTGTCTCAGAACCACATGGGCTGTCTCAGCCATGCAGAAGCAGCCACAGCACAGCCTGTGTGAGGAGTAGGGGAGAGGCAGATGGGTCAGCCACAAGTCCCTGTGCCCACTGGGTACCCACTCTCAAGAGAGACTCTCCTATTCTAATTCTCATTAATGATTATTAATGATTGCTGATATTTGCCCAGAGCTTTCTGCTGACTAGGAGCTCTGGATCTGAGCGGGTTGGCATTTGCTTATGAATGAAGCCAGATGCAGAAGCAGACTGGCCCCGAGGGAGGGGAGAGATGGCACTGGAGTCTACGCCATGAGGAGCAGCCAGGAGGGCGGGTGCTGGGAGAGATGGTCACCACCGGCCAGAGGGCAGCTGCCCTCGTGCAGGGTCTGATGCTTCCAAGGACGTGGGGGGCTCTTCATAACCACCACGTGCGCCTGGGGAGTTAGGGGAATGGGGAACTTGGCTATTCTCATGTCCTGTGCTTTCTGAAACGTTTCCTCTTCGTGTTCTGTACATTTTCCTTGAACATGCTTGCTGGCCTTGGCTCAGCCAGGGAGAGGCCTCGTCCCGTCGGCCACTGGGACTCCGGAGGCGGGGCCCAGGGAAGAGCTGCAGGAGGGCCTGACAGCGGCTGTGCCCTTCGAGTGTGTGCCCTGCTTACCACTCGCAGCATCCTTGTGGGGCAGTCCCTAGGGTGATGCCCATTTAGAGACAAGGAAATAGGTTCAGAGATGAGAGGGGGCCTATCTGGGTATATCCCACTTGGAACATGGAACTGGCTCTGAGCCCCCAGCTGACCAAAGACAATTAACTCCCCGCACGTCAGTCTCCCCAGCTGTGGAATGGAGGCGTCGCAAGCGTCCACCTTACAGAGGTTCTGAACACCGACAAGTGAATGTGTGAAGCAGGAGAGAGGGTGGCTAGGGGGCAGCCTTGGCAATCATACTCACATGTCACCCCCAAACCAAAGTTTCGCAAACACTGTTTACTTTCTCCATGTGCAATGCATACTAAGAGTTTTTAAAATATTGGTCTTAACCCACAAGTGAATGTCCCAGACCACACGTCTGAACATCCCTGCTGCCGACATTGGAAGAACCTCGCCTGGAAGAAGAGCACCCTGGGGACAGAGCCTGGGACCCAGGGGCTTCCCTCCAAGGTTCTGTCTGCTCAGCTGGGGGACCTGGTGTTTTGTGTTGGGAAAAGGGGATCTGTCCTCTTCCCTTTGTCCACCCCATGGAAACCTGGTTTTGACAGGCTTGACAGAAGAATACAGGAGGCGTAACACGGAGAGAAGCATGAGCAGGGAAGGGGGCGACGGAGGACGGGAGCCACCTTGGAGGGATGTGCAGGGCGGCTTCAGCATCTGTTCTCGAGGTGCTAGTTCATAGGGCCACCGTGTCCACTCGTTCAACAGCTGTCACGGAGGCTGGGATTCAGCCAGCGTTCCCTGACGTGGAGATGCTCTAGTGCTCTGCCGTATCCCTTTGCCTTTTGCCTTTCATAACACAGTGCACAGCAGCCAGGTGCTCACCTGCCAGTGCCAGCATCTCTACCTGGCTGTGGAGCCCACCTGAGGGCGTGCTTCTGCAGTAGCCTGGACCGAGACAGCTGAGCATGAGCTGTGTGCCGCAGTGCTGTGGGCCAGGGTGCAGTCAGTATGTCGGGGTGCAATCAGAATGCCAGGGTGCTGTGGGCCAGGGTGCAGTCAGTATGTTGGGGTGCAGTCAGTATGCCAGGGTGCTGTGTGCCAGGATGCAGTTCAGTATGTCAGGGTGCTGTTGCCAGAGTAAAGTTAGTATGTTGAGGTGCTGTGTGCCAGGGTTTAGTCAGTATGTTGGGGTGCAGTCAGTATGTCAGGGTGCAGTCAGTATGTCAGGGCGCTGTGTGCCAGGGTTTAGTCAGTATGTTGGGGTGCAGTCAGTATGTCAGGGTGCTGTGTGCCAGGGTTTAGTCAGTATGTTGGGGTGCTGTCAGTATGTCAGGGTGCAGTCAGTATGCCAGGGTGCTGTGTGCCAGGGTTTAGTCAGTATGTTGGGGTGCTGTCAGTATGTCAGGGTGCAGTCAGTATGCCAGGGTGCTGTGTGCTAGGGTTTAGTCAGTATGTTGGGGTGCAGTCAGTATGTCAGGGTGCAGTCAGTATGTTGGGGTGCTGTGTGCCAGGGTGAAGTTAGTATGTCGGGGTGCTGTGTGCCAGGGTGCAGTCAGTATGTCGGGGTGCAGTCAGTATGTCAGGATGTTGGGGTGCTGTGTGTCAGGGTGCAGTCAGTATGTCGGGGTACAGTCAGTATGTCAGTATGTTGGGGTGCTGCGTGCCAGGGTGCTGTGTGCATCGGTGTGGAATGTGGAAGTGCCGTACCCCGGGGGAACCTAGATGTGCTCTTGTCCTCCTACTGGAAAACCTCCGTCTTCCATGGCCTGAGGCCTGGTTTGCCTGGCCCACTGTCTGCTCACCTTCTTTCTGCCTCTCCTCTCCCGCTCCCTCTCCCTCTCCCCCTCCCCCTCCCTCTCCCTCTCCCCCTCCCTCTCCCTCCTCCTCCCCTCCCCCTCCCTCTCCATCTCCCTCCCTGTCCTGCAGCCACGCCAGCCACATCACACCACCCAGGGCCTCTGCACACGCCAGTTCTACCTGCTGGTCCTGTCCTTCCTCCTGCCATGTGTCTAAGCCCAGCCTCTGAGGAGACGGCACTTGAGCAGAGCTGAGGGGGTGAGGACAGGAGCTGAGCGGACCTCTGGAGGAAGGCTCCCAAGAGGCAGTGGAGCACACCGGAGGCTGGGAGAGGAGGCCGGTCCTCAGGGTCAGGGTGGGGGCTTGGACTTTACACGAAGGAAGATTGGAGCCATGGAGAGATCCGAGCAGAATGGTGTGGCATCTTCCTCTCCCCAGCCCCATGCTCTACCCTGTCACATTCCTTACTTTCCCTTTCCCGTCATTGTAATTTGTTTGTGTGGTTGTTTGTTCAGCCTTGTCTCTGTCAGAGGGCAGACAGCTGCGGAGGAAAAGGCCACACCCCACAAACAAAGGACTCAGAAGGGTGAGGCTGCCCCCGGCCCCCACCCCTGCTCTGCAGGGTCCCTGGTGCCAAAGTCAAGCCATTTCCTCCCCGAATCACTGCAGCCCCCAAAGACCCTGGCTGGGATGCCACTCAGCCCCGCCCCGATAGGCGTGACCTCCATCAGGTGTCTGGACCCCCACCCGTACCTCCACCTGAATCTGGAAACTTCACTTCCCAGGGAAGTAGAGACACGGAGACATGAGCCAAGGGGGGTGGGAGGGAAAGACCGCGAGGAAGTGTCAGGCTCTTGACGGCTGCGCTCTAAACTCGGTATTTTCAATGCCTGCATTTAAATGCCTGCAAGCGGATTAATAAGGTCTCGGTCGTAGCAGCAGCAGTCTATATTTAATCTATCTGAAACGCCAGTGGGTCGGGCCGTGTGAATATTGATGGCCGGGCGGGATTGGGGACAGGCAGCATGGCACCGGCTTTATCTCGCGGGCGCAGGCCGCCTGGCCCTTATCAGGCCGGCCCGGCTGCTGCAGCTGCGTCTTCAAGGGCCCGCACCCCGCCTCCCACCGCCTGCTTTGTAATCAGAAGAGAAGAAGTTGCTGCCTTGATATTTCCATTTTTATCTCTTTTATTTACTTCATTTTAATGTGTTTCAGGGAATATTTTCTTTGCACCAAGGCAAGGCAAGGCTGACGGTCGCTTACATCTTTCTGCTGCACCTGCCCCTTGGCCCGGCGGGGACAAGGGGGAGAAGAGGTGAGGAAGGGGGTGAGGGGCTCCTGTCTCATCCCTGCCCTCCTTGCCCTCGGTCTCCCCCATTCTCCCAGTCCCAGCTGCCTCTCTCCTGTCTGCCTTTTGCTTCCCTCTTTTTGTGGGTTCCTTTCTGAATGACTCACACCCTCCAGGTCTGCCCATCCTCACCCCTCACCCGGATCTTGAATTCCCAGCCCAGCCCTGAGGATGAGGGATTCATTACAAGGAGCCTTCACCCGCAGCCCTGGAGGATGAACCTGGGAGCCGGGGCAGAGCGCACATGATCTGGCCTGGCCCTGAGAGGAGCCTGTCACGGTTGAGGAACAGGCGGGTTCAAGACTTGCTCCACCGCCACCGCCACGGATCTGGGGGAGCCATGATTATCTCCCTTTCCCAGATGAGGAAGCTGAGGTTCCGAGAGGTTATCAGTCACAGTCACCTTGCTCCAAGTTGGCAACTCGTGACAGAGAGAGGAATTGCAGAGTGGCCGGGCCTTCGGAGACGGTCTCCATCCGGCGCAGGGCTGGCGCCGGGGGTGCTTGGCCAACTCGTCTGTGTCTCCTCCCTCATCTGTGAGGCTGGATGCTCACACCCCCATCACGCAGTGAACCGAGAGGCGTGTGAAGCCGCTCACTGTTAGGGCCCAGCCTGCAGGGGGGCAAAGGGGGCTCCTCTCCTCTGTGTCCCTGGTTTAGTGTCATCAATGCCCCTGCAGTGGATGGAATGGAGTTTCCGGAAAAGATATGTCCATATCCTAACCCTGAGAGCCCGTAAATGGGACCTTGTTTGAAGAAAGGGTCTTTGCACATTTGATTGAGAATCCTGAGATGAGGTCCTCCACAGTGAGAGGCTGTGTGAAGACAAGGACAGAGGTTGGACAGATGTGGCCACATGCCGAGGAATCCATGGGGCTCCCGGGAGTTGGAAGAGGCAGGAGGATCCTTCCTCAGAGCCCCTGGAGGGAGTACAGCTTGGTGACACCTGGGAGGAAACTGGAAAAAAATAGATTCCCGTTTTTTTTTTATATATTTTTTTCCTTTTTTATTTTAGAGAGAGAGAGGAAGGGAGAGGGAGAGGGAGATAGAAACATCAATGGGAGAGAACACTGATTGGCGGCCTCCTGCATGCCCCCCACTGGGGATCGGGCCCACACCCTGGGCATGTGCCCTGACCGGGAATCTGACCTGCGACCTCTTGGTGTGTGGGTCAGCGCTCAACCACTGAGCCACACCAGCTGGGCTAGATTCCTGTTGTCTTAATCTCCTGTCTGTGGTCACAGCAGCGCCAGGACACTCCCACCATCCCCCACCTGTCCGGGAGCCCCTCACAGGTATGGATGGCGGTGTCCCGGTCAGCACCAAGAGCCGCAGCACCAAGTCTGGTGCCAGCTACCGAAAGGTGCTTGGCGAAAGTCTGTTGAATGAGCGAATGAACCCAAGGGTAAGAATCAGTCCCGAGCACAGAAGAGCTCAGGGGACTGGCAACCCAGTGCCAAAGGCTACAGGTACTGAGCTCAGGAAACCCAAAGGCACAGGACAGCATGCTGCCCCCTAAGATCCGTGTGTACCTACGTTTCTAGCTCCTCACACCAGGGGGCACGAACCATCTTGGGGTTCCATCGCCTCCCTAGAGATGCAGGGATGCTGGCTCCAGAGATCTGAGCACCCTCTGTCTGCATGAGGGACAGCTGCCTGGCTAGGGCATGCTTCTCCATCCACACAGACATTTTTTGCAAGTGGGATATAAATTTGGGGGAGTGATTTGCTCTGGCAGCAAGCCTAGCCTGCCTGGACTAACACAGCGGCCGTCCCCCAGAGACTGAGTGGTCTTGTGTGGGGGAGGAACCCCATCCAGGGGCTGCGGGAGACTTCTTGCGTCTTCTTCATAAATAGCGTGACAACCAGAGGCCGCCCCAGGAAGGGTGTGGGATGGCAACGGCTACCGTTTATCTAAAGAACAGAAATCAGAGAGTCTGTGGGGAGGGCAGCTGTGTACCGTTTGGGACGCGTTATTTTCCAGATTTCATGCCGAAGAACAGAGAGGCTCGGCGCTTGTGGGGATCGATGTGGTTTCTGTCACTAAGAAGGGAAAGGTCAAAGCTAGAAATGATGCATTGCCTCACCACCGGGAGCCGCAGAGGTGCGTGGCTGAGCCATTGTTCCACCAGCCACCAAGGAGACCACACAGGGTGGGGTCATCCCCGTCCCCCTGGCTGCCAGTCACCAAGACCCCCATGCACTGCTGGTCCAGGCATGGCGGTGGGTCTGTGAGGGCCACTCTCGTGGGGCCTCAAGTGATTGCATCTGGGGCAAAGAGTGGGCTGCTCAGAAGGGTCAGAGCAAGAGAGAGGCACCTGGGCTGGAGGGGAAGGACCCCCCCAGGAGGATGGGGGTGGGAAAAGTTTGAGCCCAGGACCCAAGTGTCCCTGGGGAGAGGGGGACATCTGGGGAATTTTCCATCTGGCTAGGATGGCAGACAGGTGAAGAAGAGAGCATATAGGTGAGACAGGGTGAGTATTCCTAGGTCAACCCACTGGGGTCCCAGTGAGGAGGCTCCCCAGAGAGGCTGAAGTAGGAGGTCTGGAGGAGCTGCCCCCACCCAAATTCCTCTTTCCCACACACGTGGGTCCCACACCGGGAGGCCACTGGGTAAAGGGAGGTGCAGATTCAGTAGGCCCAGGATAACAGGCTCAGAGGAGGTGGGAGCCAGAAAAACCTGGAGGAAGCTATAGCACATCCAGGTCACACAGGCAGCAACGGCACAGCTAGAACAGGCCGCCACAGCCCCACAAGAGTGTGGGTGGCAAGGACAGCCCCCAGGACCGCACCCTTGGCTGCCACCCCCTTCTTCACAACCAGCACGAAGCAGACAGTCATCACCCCATTGCGCAGCCAGAAGCATCGAGGCCAGGAGCTGGGAGCCGCCTGTCAGTCAGGACAAGGCAGAGCCCCAGGGGCAGCCCTCCGGCTCCCAGGGCAAGGACAGGGCTCCTCTACAGTCGGAGGCCATTAGGCCGCCAAATGAAAAGCCCTCATTAACTAATAAAAAGTGCCTGCACTCCCTTGTCACATAATTAGTGGAAGCCAGGACTTTAATTGGCTCTGTCCAAACTGCAAGAGACCACAATCACAGCTCCACAGGGGCCAGGGCTGGGCAGCTCACAGTCTCCCCCACCTGCCTCAGCTGAGCCTCCCCGCCCCCAGGAACACTCCTCACCAAGGATGGGGAGCAGAAACTGGTGGGGGCTGCTCCCTCTCTCTCGGCCGGGGTTCATACTCCAGCTCTGGTCAGTCTGCTGCAATTTGGGCTCTTTGCTCTTCTAGCGAAACTTAAACCTGCCTGGTCCTCCTTGGAGTCTTCCCACCACCCCATTTCCCACCCATCCATCCCCTCCCAGCCTCCCGTCATGCCCTTCACCCCAGGCCCCCGGGGATGGCCCTTTCCTTCCCTCCTTAGCCTGGTTGACCCGAGAGGTCTCCCTGGTTAACTAACACCCTTGGACTCTCCCTTCTCTGCCCTTCACTCCCAGAAGCAGACCACACTTCCAGACCTTTCCAGCTTTCCTTCCCCCGGGCCTGCCGGGGAAACAATGTCAGACCCCAGCCTCCCGCCCCAGTCTCCCCCACATCCCAGCCTCCCGCCCCAGTCTCCCCCCCATCCCAGCCTCCCGCCCAGTCTCCCCCACATCCCAGCCTCCCGCCCCAGTCTCCCCCCCATCCCAGCCTCCCGCCCAGTCTCCCCCACATCCCAGCCTCCCGCCCCAGTCTCCCCCACATCCCAGCCTCCCGCCCCAGTCTCCCCCCCATCCCAGCCTCCCGCCCCAGTCTCTCCCCCACATCCCAGCCTCCCGCCCCAGTCTCCCCCACATCCCAGCCTCCCGCCCCAGTCTCCCCCCCATCCCAGCCTCCCGCCCCAGTCTCCCCCACATCCCAGCCTCCCGCCCCAGTCTCCCCCCACATCTCAGCCTCCCGCCCCAGTCTTCCCCACATCCCAGCCTCCCGCCCCAGTCTCCGCTGCAGCGACCAGGCCTCCATGATTCCTCCCATAGACACCTCTTGGGTCAACCCAGATGCGCCATCTCTGGAGCCTGAGTCTGGACCAGATCCCCACGGCCACTCACCTGGTCCACCAAACACCTCTGGCTCCAGAGCTATGAGAGAAGACATTTCCGTTGCTTCAAGCTGCTCAGTTTATCATCCTTTGTCACAGCAATCCCAGGACACTCATCCAGTGGGCAAGAGAGCCCAGGCCCAGGCTTCTTAGCACATGCGGTGTGGACACTGGGATGCGATGAGGAAGACCCAGTGCTCAGGGCAGGGGCAGGGGCCGGCAACACCCCAACTGTCACTTTCGCAAAGGGACCAGAGACCCCGACAGGAAAGGAGGTCTCCTCAACAACCAGCCGAGATGCCTGGTGTTCGTGCGGGAACGCAGCCCCACCTGAGCCGGCAGCACAGGAAGGAGGCTCATGCGGTGGGTGACAGACGGATGTGCCAGAGCTAACGGTATGTGACTTCTGGAAGGAAACACGGGAGAAAAACCTACCAGAGACGAGCCCTCAGCTAGGGCACAAAAAGCATTCACTGCGGAAGAAAAAACAATGCATCGGACTTCATCCAAAGTCAAGCCATCTGCTCTACTTTTCTTGTCGAAGACACCATTCCGAAAACAAAAGAGCCACCCAAGGGGAACATAAGCACAGGACATATACACAGCAAAGAACACGTATTGATAACTTATACAGAATCCTGAAAGCTCAATGATAAAAATATAAACAATCCCAAACACGGCCCGGACACTACGACACTTCAGTAAAGGAAGACATACAAATGGCCGATAAGCTCGTATGCGGGTCCTCAGGGAAATACCAATGAAAACACTAATAGACTATTCCTGCACACCGACTAGAAAGACCAAACTTAAAAATAAGCAATGCCTGACTTTATCTGATGTTGGAGAGGCTGTGGAGCTACTGAACTCTCCCTGTGCTGGTGGGAACGCAAAATTAGGACAACCACTTGAGAAAAGTTGGGAAACTTCTTAGGGAAGTAAATATACCTGGGATATAACCAGCAATTTTTCTCTTAGGGATCTACCTGAAGGAAATGAAAATGTACATCTACAAATGTCTTGTGCACAAATATTCATAGCAGACACTCTGGTTCGTAATAGTAAAAAAACTGGAAATAACCCAAAGTGCATCAACAGACAAATGGATACATGTGATGTGCTGTGTTTGAATGAGACATTGCTCGGCAACAGAGAGAATGACTTGGCGGCATGCAGCCCCAGAGCTGCATTCTAAAGATGGTGATGCTGCCTGGCCGGTGTGGCTCAGTGGTTGAGCGTCTACCCATGCACCAAGAGGTCACCAGTTCGATTCCCAGTCAGGGCACATGCCCAGGTTGTGGGCCAAATCCCCAGTGGGGGGCAGGCAGGAGGCTGTCAATCGATGTTCTCTCTCATTGATGTTTCTTTCTTTCTTTTTTTTTTTTATCCTCACCTGAGGACATTTTTCCATTTTTTGTTCAGATAGAGTGGGAGGGAGAGAGAAGAAGAGAGAGAGAGAGAGAGAAACACCAACATGAAGGGGACACATTTAGTGGCTGCCACTCGCACGACCAACCAGGACCGGGGACAAACTGCAACTGAGCTACACACCCTTAGCGGGAACCGAACCCAGGTCTCTCTGGATCGCAGGCCAACGCTCTAACCACTGAACCAAACCGGCCAGGGCTCATCGATGTTTCTATCTCTCTCTCCCTCTCACTTCCTCTCTCTCTAAAATCAATAAAGGATAAAAAATTATTTTAAAAAATGTGTGCTTTTGACTGTATATAAATTACAACAAAATAAAGTTGATTTTCACAAGTGTCAGCGCAACATGGAGGAAACTTATTCTGCTTGGTGTATTCATCAGCTTTGCTCTGGTAACAAACAACCCCCCAAGCTTTGTGGCTTTCAACCACACACACGCTTTGCTCACAGGTTGGCTGTGACTGTTCTCATTCCGGATCCCAGAACCAGCCTCGTGGCGCCATGCATTTCTTGCATAAAGCGATGAC